GCATGGTGTTAGTTTTCTCACAGTAAATTAGGAAGATTAAGCAAACATGGAAGTGCATTTTAGCTATAATCAGCAGGTTTGGAGCTTTAGCCTATAGTGCTTTGACATTCTCAGAGAATATATTTATAATATTATTAATATTGTCCCTTTCCATTATGTGTAGGCTTTTCCAAAACCTTTATATATACTATTCACTGTGACTCCAGAATGACTTGATTTTACTTGCTAATATTCTTAAAGCATAACCATTACATAATTGCAGTTAATATGTGCTTTTGGCAATGTTAAGAAGAGCTGTTACAGTTTTATCCCTTTAATTTTCCAAAAATATTGACTAGTGAAAGTATTTTCTGTTCTCTTGATACTTCTACAACTTAAGAATATTCCAAAATAATGTAACACTAGGCACCCCCTAAAAAAATAAACCCCCATTGGGTCAAGTTTACTGTTTGCATATGGTGCCTCATTCAGATACTAATGTACTATTTGCATATGCCTGCAAACAAATATTTAGCCTGAATTTAGCATTTGTTTTAACTGATTAAAAGCAATAAATACAGGCTGTAACTGTCTGATCTATTTCATAGATTCATTAAAAAATTTCCATTGTGGCTTTTACTCAAGTGAGCATTAACTTATCTCATCTGATAGGTCTTTTCTCTTCCTTTCTGGTGTGTGTGAGTGTGAGAGAGAGAATGAGAGAGAGAGATGCTATCTGACTGGGAAAGAAATATAGACTATGTATCCAAGAAGGCATGAAAGTAAGAAAGGCAGGCCTGCATCTCCAAGCCTGCACTGATAACAGCGGCCATCAGTGTCAAATACGAAGACAGCAGAAAACATTTTCCTGCCCACTTTGCATCCACCATTACCCATTTCTCCTCCTTCTCACAGAGGCTGCTCCCTGCATAATTGCACTTTCTTTTACTTGCCTGCTGAGTTCAGTTTGTGACCATCTGAGTCACACCAATTTGTGATGCATTTAATCATTTTAAGCTGTGTCTCTAACAACCAGTGCAATAAGCCAGTCAATCATTTTCTGGGTTCTCTTTCCATGCTTTACTTTCTCTAGTTCTCCAACACTGTTTAGTACTAGGTTGTTTGAATAAACAGCGCATGTAGGGCAGGAGTGAGAAATGTGTTGCCCTACAGGTGTTTTGGCATACAACTCTTACCATCCCTCACATTGGCTATGTGGGCTAAATCTGATGAGAATTGTAAGCAAAAATATGGAAAGCCACAAGGTTCCAGCTCCTGCCATAGGTCTCTGTCTGCCATGAAGAAAAGGCATTTTGCCCATGAGCTCAGGGAACTTTCCTTTTATTAGTACATCAAGGACCTTTTGATATAAGCAACTAAGATTAAGTTGGTTATTTGTTTATTGTAAACACTGTGGAACCTTTTCAAGTAAGCAGTGCTCAGGGAGACATTTTTGCTTTTAGAATTCTGAACAAACAAAAACTACATATATTTTATTTATATTTTAATTTTCTATTACCTGTTATGATTACAAGTAGCATGAGACGTATTCTTTACCCAGATCCTATGCAAGATACTTATATGAAAATGTTTTTGCTGTTCAGTTCATTTTTATTTTGTTGATTGGTTATTTTAAAATGCTTCATAATCTCCTGAGAGCCTTTGAAGTTGTCGGTAAGTCAGAGTTTTCAAATGTATACTGATGAACAGAAGAGATTGGCTGGCTGTCAATCACTCCAACAAAGTTCATTTGAATGAAATCCCAGTTGTCCTAGTTTAAATTAAGGTTTTCAAAAGTTAAGTCTTGTAACCCTGTTGACAGTTAATTATGCCTAACCTAGATACTGAACAATGCTTCAAATACCTCCTTCTAGGAACAAGAATCCTCAAAAGACAAAAAAACATACACAGGATGTTTAGAGAATAGGCCCAATAGATTCATTAAGAATTAAGGGCTAATTGAATTCTGTCAGTTGAATTTGCTGATTCATTATTTATTTTTTACAGCTGTCCTAGGAGTTAAAGAACATTAGTGTCCATCCAAACACCAGGATTTGCCTATACAGTTTCTGTCCCTTGCAATAGCTGTTAAAATAGAGCCTGTCAACCTTTTGTTTTTTGTTTACCTTTTCTGCCTTCATCCCCTCAACTAGTCATGGTGTCTTTTTTCATCTTCTCTCTTTCTAATTTATTCCTGTCATGATCTTCCCTCTTTCTACCATTCCTGTGTACCTTTGTTCTGAATTGTTTTCCCGAGCATTCTTTTCCTTACCCCACTTATTCTTTCTCACTCAACACCTGAACTACTTTACAAGAACATTTTCAAAAGTTCTCTTTGAAAAGGTAAAAAAAGTGTTGCAGTGGTATATCTCCCAGAATACTAGTTTTCTTAGCCACATGTCAAATAATGTATTTATATGAGACCGTGTACATGTTCAGAAGTTTCAGGCATAAGCTCCGTAAGTGGCAATAAGCAAACCACTAGTATCTCTTAACAACTGCCACCAGTGAATGAACAGAGACTCCTTATAGCTTCCATGGCTCATATTGTAATCATTGGCAAGGATTCTAATTGCATTTTAGGGTTTAAAGTATAATTGTAGTAGCAGTAGTAGCAGCAACAGCAGAGGCCGAAATAACAACAGCAATAACGACAGTAACAAAAATAGGGATGATAGTAAATGGAATAATTATACTAATGAAAGTAATGATCATAATAATGCTAAATCTCTAGGTAATTAATACACTCTTCTTTCAAAAAAAAATCCTAGTACATCAGAGCTAGCTGGCATAGTTTTGGGGCTGACGGAGAGAAAGAGGAGAAGGTGGCTGGATCCAAAATTCTATGAAGACAGTTTAGCTCACAGAACAACACACTCCCCTTGACTCCTTGTTCCCTGTGCATCTACCCCCACCCCACCCCACCCCACCCCAAAGTATTCAGTTGGGAAACTATTCATAACTCAGGTTTTTTGTACATTCATGTGGTGGGGGGCACAGATTCTTGCAGTGGGAAGGAAGACTGGGTGAAAATTGGTTCTTTCTGTTTCTCCATGAAAGTAGCTCCAGACAGGTCCACGTTTGGATCTAGCTCATTGTTTTTCTCTGACCCAGAGTCTTTTTTTTTATTTTTGCACATAACCAGGCCCATGGTGCTGATACAGAAGGAAGAAATTCTGTTCTTGAACTTGTTCTTCTTGCTTTCATCCAATTACCTTTATCTTGTCCCTAGTTAAAAGTAATAATGCTGCTGTGTTGCTTTGATGCAGAATGAGTATATTACTTATAACAATAAAAGTAAACAATGTTAAGTAACTGAAGTGTGTGTGTTGATGTGCACATATGTACAGATAAAATAAGATAACTCTGTTTCTGTTAGGTTCCCCCCCACCTCCCAGTTTAGGTGGTTGTGTTCCTATTGTTGCTGCAAAATTCTGTCTTCCATTATAAAAATCAGAAGAAACATGCCATGTGTGTTAAATTGTTTATGCTTCACTTCATGTTTTACTTCTGACTTTAGCTGAATACAAAATCCATTTTTAATAAGGGTAGGCCAGGGTATTTTGTTTTCCATTCAGTTATTTTTTTTACTATTATTCATTATTTTTACAGTGATGTGACCTTAACTTTGTGCCATTGGCAGTACACATTCTAAACTTCAAACAAACTTTCACCATACAATATTTTCTTCCCTACACCTCCCCACTCTCTCCCAACGATTGGTGCCAATACAGTTCAGCTACCCTACATTATATTCTCTAAAGGCAGTCTGTGTTCAAAAGACTTGCACTTACAGCCACCATGTGAGGCCACATAGACTTTTTCCTTTTTTCTTATCTGAGCTTGTTGACCTCAGGAGAGGAGAAGAAGGTTACGAGGTCAAAGTCTTTTCCTCCTTGGAGCTCACTGCTTGCTGGGAGAGGGTTGGCTGGAAAATAGAAGTTTTAGAATGGGGTTAAGGGTCATGATTTTAATTCTGTTAGGGAACAGCTGTTTTGAGTTTCTTTCCACTTCTGTCTCCCCTCCTTGCATCACAAGTCCATAGAGAGAGTAAGAAATTTGTTCAGAGGGAACCAAGAACACAAAAAATATGTGACTCCAGTGTATTGATGCATTTTAAAATGGATCGTCTTTACTATTACTATTCACATTAGAAGGAAAAGGAGTGGACTGTTTAAATAACTGAGATGTATAGCTCAGACTGAAATTAAACTGCCATTCTGAAAGGTGTTTTATTTGCTCATCAAATGTCAAGGTCTAATAGAAATTGATGTTCTAAAGCTTAGTGTTGAAATAAAAGGCATGCACTCATTCAGCAGTTTTAATGCAGATAAAGCCACTTTTTAATGTATGGGGCTTAAGTTATGTGCAGTGGTTTCAAAGGGAAACAAGTTATTTTGTAGATATTTAACACTTTCTGGGTGTACTCTGGATTTTCTGTTTCCTTGTATTAAGAAGAGATGGGACGGGTAGGGGAAGAAAGACGATCACAACTCTCAGGTGAATGGAAAACAAGTAACAGATTTTTTTTCTCTTTTCTTTTTTTCTTTTTTTTTTTTTTTTTTTTTGTCTGTGCTATTCTGAAACATTGGCCTCAGGCTGTGTTGGTGTGTGGCTCAACAGCAATCAGAGGTCATAATTTCATTGGTGGTTAGCATCAGGTTTAATTTTTCTAATATGTTACATTTACCAAAATGTCTGGTTTTAGTTATGCATATGAACTGCCTGAAACAGCTTTGAGTAGCTTGAAGTCTGAAGGTACCTGAAAGAATACAAGAATATACATGGAACTTAACAGGATGATTGTTTTAATTTCCTTCCTTTCTAAACATGCAAATAGGATTTTTCATCAATTCTGTATAAGAATAGTGCTGAAAAACAGTGTATATTTATTTGGTTATAGCAGCATAAAACGAATATTGGTTTGCATGTCTTTTAACAGGCAAACAAAATTCTCCAGTGACATTTGTTGAATTGCAATTGTCAAATAAAAGTAAATATAGTGTCTTTTTTCATTGTAGGAGTGTGACCAAGTTCATATTGATGATGTTTCATCAGATGACAATGGTCAAGATTTAAGGTAAGTCTAAACTGAATCAGAAAATACAATGATTGCAAAATGTGATGTTGATATTTTAAATACTAGCAATAATTCTAGCATAATTCATCTTTTGTTCATTTTTGCAATTCAGTTAAGTTACCTTTTGTACTTTGGAACAGTCTGATTATTGTTGTTTCTAATTTCTCACAACTAAATCAGCACCTATAACTTCGGAACAGATGGCTTCCCTGCAGCCGCTACCAGTGCTAATTTATGCTTAGCGACGGGTGTGCGTGGAGGAGTGGACTGGATGAGAAAACTGGCCTTCCGATATAGAAGAGTAAAAGAAATTTACAACACCTACAAAAATAATGTTGGAGGCAAGTGCCTGTTCTGCTATCTCCTGCTTAATAACCACCTCATTATTTGTCACCCTTTTCAACATGACTGTATTTCCTCTGCTACTTAAAGGGTTGTATATTCAATAGAATGGTGACATGTGGTGAGTGATCTTAGCTGAAATATACTTGCTTTCCCCGCCACCCCCTTGCAGGTCTTCTGGGTCCAGCAAAGAGAGAAGCTTGGTTGCAGCTTAGAGCAGAGATTGAAGCCCTAACTGATTCTTGGCTAACACTTGCACTGAAAGCACTCACACTGATTCACTCTAGGTAAGTGGATTCTACAGTTTGTGCCTCACTGCAAAGCTATTTCTTTTGGGTTTGTTCCCCACTTGCTCTAGCTTCCATAACTTGGTGTTCATGAGTGGTATTCTTGGGCAACCTGGACCAGAGTGAATGTTTGCCTGTTTCTATATGGATATTCCTTTCTTCAATGTCCTAGCTGCCCACAGACAATACAATCTCCTGAACATTTCTACAATATTACATGGACACTTGATTTTCCAGTGACCTAGCTGTTTACAGACAAAGGGCTCTGGCTTTCTTACTTCTTTTCACTTTGTGGCTTTTCTTGTTCTCATCTACTTTTCTACTTTCAATTTGCAAGGTCATCAGCTTTGTTTCAGTAAGGGTTGTCAAAGTAGCTGTTGCTTCCCCCAACACACACATTATAATTGTCATAAGATGTTCTGCAGTGTCTACAATCTTGTCTAAATCTGTTGTTTTAAGCAAATTGGGAGCCTATGCTATGGACAAAACACAGTACTCCCTGAGCTGCAGTCAGAGCACCATTCATTCCTGACGGTTGCACTAGAGCCATTCCTAACCCATCTATGTGATCTGTGGAGCATTCACCGTTCCATTGCTCAGTTCAGCTATGCTTTAGAAGCAGCATATTTGTACATATATCTAACATAGCATCCCCCTTCTTTTAAATCTTTAAATGCTGGTTTTACACTTTGAGCAATTTTTAAGCCTTGACAAGAGCGTAATAGTGCATTTGTGCTTCCCTTTGTGAAAGTTCAGTCAATTGCTCCCTGTTTGCAAATATTTTACTTTTTGAATTTGGTTTTGTTCTTTTGAAAAACTCACCTTTCATCTCTTTAACTGATTTTTTAATCTTTATTGGGAGTCCTTCACAGTCCTAACATGAGATTCTTGGTGCCTTTTTTCTATTTTCTTGTATTTTTCTATTTCCTCATACCAGTCCATTTTCTAAATGCTTGCTAGTTTGGAATTGTAGTTAAGGAAAGAAAAGAGTTTCTGTTTTTAAACTGGAAGTGACTCTTTACCCTCCTTTCATCGTTCACGCAGAGCTTGCATCCAGGAGAAACTTACTGAGGACGTCCAGACTGATTAGGACCTGTAATGTCACTTGTCCTTCTCCTAGGACTATAGCCCACTCAAAAGACTATATATTTCTTTACCTTTCCATACCGACTCATAAGCAGCAAGCTGGGTTGGATATGAGAAAGGAAAGATTTCACACATTCCCTGGTCACTTGTTCCATTCAGCTGGACTCAGCTTTGCTTGAACGAAAGCAAGGACTTCATGAGCCCAAGGATTTTAACCTCAAATATACTGGGATTACCCACAAGTCTCAGTGGTTTGAAACCTTCACTACTTTCAGTCTTCACCCAGTCTTTACCTAGAGCATCCGTCAAAGAAAACTTGCACAGCTATAAGTAGTTACAGTTCTTTCTCGAAAATCACTGCAGGAGGTATTCCTTTCAACTCAGCCTTCCAACAATAATTCGTACTACAAAGGAAACAGCTTTTACATAGACAGACAATGTTTCCTGGGCCTGGCTTTCAAAGATACTTGCACGGTGCTTTTAGTAGCAACAAGCCATTTAAACATTAAACCATAAAACAAAACACCTACATATAAAATATATAAACTGCATCTTCTCTCACGACCAGGATCTCCTAGGGCAGACCTGGGCATTGTATGGCCCGCGGGCCACATCCGGCCGGATGGCTGACCCTGACTGGCCCACATGAGGTCACTGGCAAATTAAAAGTCAGTGCAAATATATATAGTCGTAATATAGATGCAAGCAATACAACTGCACTGCTTTTATTTTGAAGGATCTGCTGAATTGAATTAATTGCTTTTCATGTAATGTTAATGTTTTTATGAATATTCATTAAATAGTGTTGTTCTGTGCTCACATTTTCATTGTATCATTGTAATGTTTCATTTACTGTTTTTATAGAGATATATATTGAGCAGAGCTGTAAGTGTACTGGTCCAGCCCTTAACAACTGTCAAAGTTTCTCATGTGGCCCCATAAGAAAATTAATTGCCCAGCCCTGTCCTAGGGAATGTACAGCACCCTTCTTGAGTTGTGTGCCCTAACATATTTCATTTGTGCAAATGCCTTGATCTCATTGCCACTGAAATTTTTATCTCTGAATTTTTCAAATTTACATTCACCTTTTAATCACAACTTCATTTCATTTTGTTTTCTTGCACAAATTTGAATCTAAGGAAGCCAGTACTCAAAGAGATACCCAAAGTGGTTTTGCATCAGGACTCTTACAGAGTGAGAGTGTTTTCTCTATTGAGTGGTCTTTATTTACCTTGAGTCTGACTGAGTACCTCTGCTGTAGTTCAAAACTCATAATCTGTTGCCCAGCTTACCAGAACAAAATTCAGCCCTCCTCAAAATCCTATAGAGATCTTAATTTGGTGTCTCCTCCAGGATTTTGAGGATAGGATATCTCTGTTACATGAACCTAGCCCAGCATACTGAAATCTTAGATAAGCCCTCAAATTTTCCAACTTCCCACCCTCCGATCTTGACTAAGTTTCATCAGGCCTTTATTGAGCTCATACTCTGCAGGTGATCAGGCTGCCAAAAAAGAACCAAAGACCACGCACAGAGTAGCCTTAGGCTGTCTACCCCCAATATGACCAAATGTGGCTTTCCTATGGTTCTACACAAGCATTCTAGAAAATATAAAAACAGAAGTACAAATGGTGTAAAGGACTCTCTTTCTCCACCTAACAGAAATATGTCTACAACTTCTCTCCCAGTAATATCTCTATTCGCTACTCTTCTCATCTGTCATGGCCTGTTCTGATTAAACTTCCATTAAACTCCTTTATCTTTTACATTGAAGCGAGTGCATGCTCAGATATTTCTTTCTTCCTTCTTCAGCAAACACCCTATCACCCAATTGTGTGTTTCTCCATCTGAAGTTCATATACTGGTGGTAGTGTACTGTCATTGGGTGCTGAGCTACAGCCTATCTTATGCTCTGCTGTGGTAATATGGGTGGATATTTGTCAACGTGAGGGTGGCCATGTTTGCCTTTCCCATTGACATTGATGGAAGGAATGTGCCTTCTACCATGGTTAGGTTTGCTGTCAGTAGAGATGTGGCTGTGAACTGAAGGGTTATCCAGTGAATGTTTGTTCTCCCCATGTTGCCTGCATTTGCCTATAACACCACCCTTTTCCAACCATGTTGGCAGCCCATTCTTTTAGAATGTCTGAGGTGTTCCATTGCTTTATCTGTCATGGTAATAATTTTCTAGTATTTCACCAGCATGGAAGGGCTTCTGTCGAATCCTATAGCCCATGGGTGGAAAATATGCAGTTTGAACCCCTATGCCTTCCCCTGCCTGCACCCCACATTTCTTCTAAAATATTGTAGAGGAAAATAGCACCTGCTGAGCATCCAAAGGGCCAAATTTAGCTTGAAAATTGGTTTACTGATTAAATTTGGTAGCAAACTGACAATTTTGGGACCTCACAGCACAGCGCTGGGTTGTGAATGTTGTCTATCTCTGCTATATCCCTTCGGCTAGCAGGTCTTCAGTACAGAATTGCACCCTCCATCTTTTTAATATGCAGTGTTATCTATGCTGCTTTGCCAGGACAGTGTCAGGACGCAGTAACACAGTAGCAGGCACTGTTGTGCTATTGGGCTTTCACAGGAATGTCTCTCAACATTTTCCTGCCGCAACTCAGCTTGTTTCTCCCACCTTTTCCCAATCCTAGTTTGAAAATCAGGGATAGAAGTACACATAAATTGAAAATATTTGTTTGATTTACTTTCTTATAGGACAAATTGTGTGAATATTCTAGTGACGACTACTCAGCTTATTCCAGCTCTGGCAAAAGTCTTGCTATATGGCTTATGTGGAGTATTTCCAATAGAGAATATTTACAGTGCAACAAAAATAGGTAAGTGGAATGGATAGGTAAGATCCATACAAAGATGCATAAAGCTTTGCATATGCACAGAAATGCCCATTCCAATGCACTTCATTGGATGACATGAATTCTTACTCTATTTTTGCATCTTTGAATGGCTCTCCATTTGTGCATTTTGAAATTTAGTCCTGCTTCTTTGCATTTTCCCTTTCTTTTGTATATGAACTTTGTAGTACTGTATTTTGCACAATTACATTTTCACTTTTTGTACAATAAATTACATATATGATATAATTACAGTAATTAATGTAGCCAGTGTGGTGTAGTGGTTAAGAGCATGGGACTAGGACTCAGATGATCTGGGTTCTAGTCCTCGCTCAGCCATGGAGCCAACTGGGTGACTTTGGGCCAGTCACAGACTCTCAGTCCAACCTACCTCACAGGATTGTTGTTGTGGGGATACAATGGAGGAGGAGATGTGAGCTGCCTTGAGCCCTTTTGTAGGAAAAAGGCAGGATATAAATTGGAAAATAAATAAATAAATAGGGTAAAATTTAGATGTGCTTGATTGCTTGATTTTGGTGCCATTCTGCAGCTGCTGCTCTCCTGTTTGTCTATTTTTTTTCTATGCTAAGCATTGTGTATAAGCACAGATATCATCAATCTGAAGGAGGATATTAAACTATGCTAATAAATTTAAATATTCAGTATTTTTTTCTCAGTATATCACAATTCTCATGTAATTTATCTCCACATTCAGACTGTGTAGGGATAGATGGATTAGTCTGTTTCACATATGTTTAATGATATGTCCATTCCATCACATATTTAGCATTTAACAAATGTGTAAAATAATATTTAAATTTTAAACATTTTCCCTCAAGATACACATTTTTGTATGCCAATTCCTCAAGAATACTTATTTCCTTTAATGTAGGAATTTTTGAAATGAGAACTGCACTGCAAAGTCAAGAAAAGTGTGCCATCATAACTGTATTCTGAATATCTTATTAGGTCATATTACTTAAAAATCACGGTACTTTTTCCATCCCAAGCCTGATGAAGCATTTATTTCATGGACTGAGAGCATTTATTTCATGTCATTCTCCTCAAAAGCCTTATCTTCATCTGTATCAGTACCCTTTCCTTGCTTTGCTTGGTTTCAATTCCTGTTGAGGGTGTACCTGGTACTATGCATTTCATGATCGCGTATATTTCAGGATTGTGAACTTGTTGCTGTTGTTGTTCTTGGTTTTGTCGGTTGTTGTTGTTGTTAAAGATGGCTGTCATACTCATATTTGTGAGCCTAGGCATGCACTAGTAACTTTGATAGTGTTTTCAGGAAATGGCAGCATTGACATGACATTGTTAAGTAGAATGAAGTACAGAAGGTCAAAAACAGCACTTCCCTCGTCCAAGTGGAATTAGCAGTAAAAGTAGGGGATAAGTGCTTAAAATACCAGAAAAGCAAAAAGCTTTTAAGGGAGGAGAAACAGGACGAAATATGGATTTTAACAGATCATTCTCCTAATATCAGCGGTAGATAACATGAAAATAAAAAAATGCAGATAGACACTTGATTTAATGGTTTACACTATAAACTGTTTGTTTATTAGTTGGTTTCTTAATTAAAATAAAATGTGACTTGGTTTCACAAAATTGTGGGTTGATAATATACTTCAAATGTACAATATTTAGAAGTTTATGCTTTTCTTTCAGGAAAAGAAAGCTGTTTTGAGCGTATAATTCAAAGATTTGGAAGGAAAGTAGTATATGTTGTTATAGGAGATGGTGTGGAAGAAGAACAAGGAGCAAAGAAGGTAATGAGGCAAGATTTTACATTTCCAGATAAATATTCTTAGTTAATTTCATTTTAATTGTGGAAACTTTGCATTACAATATCCATGTCTACCCATTATAGGTACTGGTTACTTAGTCCCAGGTAAGGTAGGATACATAAGATTGTATCCTAACTGTCTTGATCTCTCTCATTGGAAGTCTTCAAACAGGGGCTAAAGAGCCATCTGTTGGGGATTCTTTAGCTTTAGATTTCTTGCATCAAGTAGCAGGCTGAACTCCACAAAAGATGCAAACCAGATTCTGAGGAATAAATGGAGCTTTCAGTGCACTATCTTGCCCATTTGCAGTTGTTGAGGCCTGGTGATATGAACTGAGTGCTTGGATCTGTCTACATTCTTGATCCTCAAGGATTTAGATCAAAGAGGTGATATCTGCTTTCTTAAGGGGTGGCCAATTGTTGATCTCTTTAAAATGGGTGTTGGTTCACACCTCCTTGTAAAACCAGGACTGGATCTAGATTGGTACAATAATTTTAAGCCAGTTTCCAAGTTGATTGAACTTGAGATACTTCTGTACGACATGGTTTATCTGGACTCATTTCAGCTGGGTTTTATGCCTGGTTCCAGAATAGGAACTGCTTTGTTTACCCTATGAGATTATCTCTGCAGGAAGAAAGAAGTGTGGGAGTACATTCCTACTGGTTCTTCTCTTAGTGACTTTTGATGCCATCAACAATGGTATCCTGGTAGGCTGTCTGAATTGGAAGTTTGTGTTGTTTTAGAATGGTTCCATTCCTGTTTGGACAGCCCTTGCTCTGTGTGCATTGTCAGGCATCTGTGTGTCATTTCTGACAATTCCCTTTCCCTCTGAAAAGCAGCCGTGGAGACTGAAGTCTGGAGCAGAAGATGTGGGGAGGGGCAGAAGGAATTGCATAGAGCTTATTTCTGAGTGGACACGTCTTAGATTCTTCTGCTAGTCTTTTTTACTTAAAAGCTTTACATTTGCAAAGGAATATTTAAAATTGGGAAGAACATTTACTTTTAATCCATTTTTGTAATGTACACAAATAGCATTCTGTTCTATGTGACAATGGTAGAAAAGTCCTTTCACTTCTTATCTGTCTATATCTAAATAAACAGTTTTTTCAAGTGCTTTTCACAACACATAACTAAAACAGCTTTCATAGTTAGGAAATAAACAGATCTTAAAGAAGCCCGCCAGAGCCATTGCTTTCATGTGTTGTTTGTTGCCGGAAGGACTTTCCCATCTAGGATACAAGGAAACAGCCAGATTTTCCCCTGGCAAAACAACAGTGAATTCAACGGGATTATATCTACAAGGAATTCAGTAACTATATGTGTTCATGCCTAAGAAAAACATCTTCCTAAACCTACAACCATTCAGCTTCTTCCTGAGCCTCAAAATACTGCTTTTCAAGCTCTCTGTGACTATATTTATATGCCTTCAACTTAAAGGTTTCAATTGTGGCTTTGCTTCAAGGCCAGAATATTAAAAAACACCCTGTGGTTCTTTTGCTCCCATAGCTATGAGCAGGGAGGTTTTTCTTGAATTTCTCTGCTTCTTTGGGGGAAAGAACAAACTGTGCTGGCTTTTTGCCCACCACAGCAATGCAGTTTCTCAGTTCTGTTGACCCAAGCTGGCATGGAGTTGCAGAGAGAGGCGAGCTGGAACCCGTGCACTCTCTGCCATACATCTATAACATAGCACAGGTGTTATATAACTACAAAATTGCCTAGTTCTTTTCTAATGCAAATGGAGTTTGCATTCTGAATAGTCAGAGCCCAAACTAAAAAAAGAAGAAAAAGTCAAAGCTACATTTATAAACTGTGCAAACTAATTTTATACAATCCCAGTTGTTATTTGACTCAAGTGGTCAAGCCAGATTCCCATTCCAACCACCAGCTGACAGTCAAGAAATCAAGCATGTGCCAGCTGTTTCCTAACTTGATGTGTCTAGTTTCATCTCTCCCTCCCTGAAATCCCATGCAGGTCCTGATGCCAGCTCAGGTATGATGGTTAAACTATTGAATGGAGCCTTAGACATTTAGTAGCCACTGGAGAATAAATGGAATGGAAATGTGAAGTTGGAACAATCTTTCATTCTCAAACTTTCTGCTATGAAGAAAGCTAACTTTGTTTACCGTATTTTCTAAAATGTATATGTTCTGCTCCACTTCAGCTTGAGATTGTCATCTACTGAAGGTTCAAACAATTTCTGAATGTCTAATTTGATTTCTCCTGCTCAAAAATATTGAAATTTCATGAAAGAATGATGTTGCTATACATTACAAAACAATGCTGATTTTCTGAATCGTGAATGACATGTCTGTTTTTAGACGTTATTTAGCCTTCATAAAAAGCTACTTACCAAACAGCTCAATTTTATGCAATTTTCCTTGTAACTGGATTTGTCAGAAAAAGGAAATTACATATTCCTTAAAATGAACTATTTTAAAGGTATCCCCTTTGCTTGATTAAAAGAAATATGATTCACACAGGATGCAACAGTCTCTTTTGTTTCACTTGTATTGAGTAAGTCATGGTATCACCACCTTTCCATAAGCTGCTATTTCCTGTGGACTCATTTTATAAGACAATTAAAATATTCAGGCCCAGCAGAAGTAAGTGAGGAAAACATATCTGGGCTAGCTCACAAAATAGTTGATGCAGGTGAAGTTGTAAGGAGTCTGCCTAGAGTTCACGATCTTTGTGTCTATCTCCTGAGAGAGAAAGTGAGAAGGAATTTATCAGGCAAGGGAATTCCTACACCTCAATGAGCTTAAAATTACATGCAGAATATAGCAGTAACTCTTTACCAGAATGATGGCTTATTGGCATAGCCTGACTGTATATAGAGTCTTCATTTATAAACAAGCCTAGACATTTGGGTATGGAGTCACTTTATGAGTGTGTGGTTATGTAACATTTGTAGTTGCCACCCGGGATATAGGGCTGCTTAGAAAACATTTACTTCTCATGTAGCAAATGAGCATTTGTTAAAATGGGCCAAAAGGATCAGATTCTGTTATGAATAGAGTGATAGGGTCATTGTTGAACTCCTAATGATCTGAGACTGCATGTGGGATGAACTTTGGTGCAGAGGTTTTACTATGCTGTCAGTCTTCGTGAGTCTCTTGCAAAATCTTGCATAGGTGGCGTGTGAGAAAGTCTTAATTTAAAAGAGCTTTTGATTAGGGCTCAAATGAAAGAGGTGTGTAGGAATATAGCTAGGCAACAACCATTTTCCATATTATAAGGTGTTTTATTATACAGAGACTACAAGCTTTCCATTTGTAATTTCGATGAGACTGGATAATAAGCAACAAAGCTGTTGTCCTAGCCATACAGTATACCAATATATTCCAGCTTGGACTTGAAAGCAGTGATAAATGGCAGGTGGAAAAAGAATCAGATATATACCACTGCAGCTTCTGTACTGAAAGTCACTCTTTAGTAAATGTTTATGTACCAAGTCTATTGAAACTTTAAAGTGCTTTTTAAAAAGAGCTAGACAAAATTCATGGGATGTGGGTGGTGCAGTGGGTTAAAATACTGAGCTGCAGGGCTGGTTGATCAAAAGGATGACAGTTTGAATCTGTACAACGAGGTGTGCTCTCATTGCTTGTCCCAGCTCCTGCTGACCTTGCAGTATGAAAGCATACAAATTCAAGTAGATAAAAAGGTACCACTTCAGTGGGCAGGTAACAGCATTCCGTGCACTTCGGTGTTTAGTCATGCCGGCCACATGACCACGGAAACTGTCTGCAGACAAACGCTGGCTCCCTCAGGTAGGAAATGGAGATGAGCACCACCCCCAAGAGTCAGACATGACTGAACTTTAATGTCATGGGGAAACCGTTACCTTTTAGACAAACTCATAGCCATGTAGTGACCAATCCACCATCAGCTTTTGCTTGGAACTCTAAGTTCAAAGGCATAATTCTTAAAACCAGACTAGGGAGTCACTAGGAAATCATATATATTAGAAAAACTCTTGTCTTCATGCCTTGCTTGCCTCTCCACTGTGGGCTTCAAGTATTGTCCCTTCATCTGACTTGATATACACAGCAGCCACTTTTGTTGTCTTTCAGTTTGCCATCAACAGTCAGCCTTGGAGTACAGGAAAATATAGCCAGGGAATAGACTGGATTGTTCCCTTTCTGCAGTCAGTTGACTCATCCAGGGGTTACCCTGACTTGCTTCTCTTCTTTGACAAGAAACCTAGGTGTCCAGTGAAAAAACATGAACCAAAGCCCTAGGAAAGCCAAATGACAGCAAAAAAGTGAAGAAGCTAAGAGGAAATAAATGTGGTTTTAACCAATTCTCTTTTATTCTTTCCCTCTTTCAGTTATACTCTCTCTGACACTATGCCCCTATCTCCCTCTTACCCCATGCACCCAAGTGCAGCCAATTAGCACATAAGTACAACTTACACAAGTGATTAAGTCCAGTGACAGTGACTTTGATTCAAAAGCTAATCTAGATGCAGATATTAAATCTTGTTCTTCTGAGCAGATGAAAAATTACGGTAACAACACACTGAAACTGGTAGACCTTTTACTACCAAGCAATAGCTTTCCAAGGTACATACCAAACCTGCAAGTTAGGAGAGCTTAGGTAGGTTCTTCAGACTCTTCTGACAGTAAATATGTTGAGATGTTTTTAAAAAATCATTTGGTCTGCATTTGGAAGCAAACTGATGTAATTTGCACCTCCTGTTCAGGTTAGTACATGAAAATAGATGGATCCATCCATCAATCCCTAATTTTGCACAAATTTGGAGGAAGAACCTTTTGCAGACATCTCTGAGGAAGATGACAAAGGAAGTCTTGAGGTTCACACGGCTTTCTGAGCATTACTGCTTTGGTTGCTCTGCCCGGCTTGCATGTCCACCATTGCCACTTCCTTCTTATATTCCTTCAGAATATAAGACCTGAATCACATAAAAACGGGAAGGGAGTGCATCTTCATTCTCATGGATGTTTCTGCTTAGCGTCCCAGTACTTGAATTCCAGCCATGCTGCTCCCGGTATGTGCTCGCTAGTTTTTAGCTCTGAGAACTGGGATAGGCAACACAGAGCTCATGGGCCACAACATGTCCCTTTCCACCTCCTGCTGCAGCGTCTGCTTCCAAGCTGTGGACATTCATAGCAGCTAAAAGATCGCTGCTTTGCCATTGAATTGGTGGTAAACCACTAAAACGGCATAAAAAGGGTAAAGCTCATTTGTTCTTAAGCAAATCTGGCAGTGTTAGGATTCCATTGTAGTTTGCTATTACTACAGGAGGTTAAAGCAGCTAACTCTTATCTGAAGGGAAGTCAGATTTGGCTGCTTTAGGCTTCTTTAATGGTTTGCCACCCATTTTCAGCATCAAACAGTGTTCCCCTTCTCACTGGTGCCCTATGGAAAGAAGGCTGATGCTCAGCCATAGCTTAGCAGGATCAATTCATTCTTATTTCCAATTGATAGCCAATTAAAGTAATGCTATGTCCAGATAGCCATTAAAATTTGGTTCACCATTTGGCAATATAGAATGCAGGAGTCAGGACCTCAGCCTGAATAAGAACCATGGGCAGAGAAGTCAGGTTAAAGCAAGCAGTCTCTTAAGCTAGAGTCCAAATTTAGACAGAGTCTTCTGCACTTACTTTAGAGTAAAAAGGAGGTAATGCATGCTGTATATCACAGATTTTATATTTTGCTGCATAGTAGTTTCTGTGTGGACTTCTACTATAACAGCAAAAGATAAAGACAACACTGAGCAGTGCATTGCTTTTAAAATGAATATTCAAGAATGAGCTGTACACAGCTAAATTATTAGGATCTGCAACGTAATGCATTTACAATTTAAATGTCAAATGTTTCATGATGGGACCATTTGGAATTTTCTGCATGAAAGGTGATTGCTATATCAGACCTGGGGATCCTCTACCATTCAGCATGTCCAGTCGTCTAGGATTACTGGGGAAGTGCTCCAGCAACATCTGGAGATCCAGAGGTTACCCATTCCTGAGTTATATAAAAGATGCTTTGCAGCACTGAAAGGCCTGCTTTATATCATAATGATAGTGAGGTTTCAAAATCGTATCATCACCCTCATAGATTATATAAACTCTGTTTATTCCTGTTGTTCAAGTCTTTGGTTTATTCAGCTGTTGTGCAAAGATACTTATGGTATAGGTTCCATATAGGTTCATATAGCTCGTGCTATTGTCACAAACTGTTGTATCATTCTGGGCAATATCTGTGTTCTGCTCTCTGAGCTATATGAATTTTTCTCTATCTGAGATAATAAAAATCCAGCAGACTGCTACTGATGAAAAATCTGCTCTCAGATTAGGCTGTTAAACTGTATGATCTGAGAACTTGTTGTACTAAATAATCAGAAGTCTCACTGTATTGATGCTTAGAGAAGTTATGAGTAAACTGCTAATTCAGCAGCTGAGAGGAAATTTTTCTGATCCTGTGCGCAGTTTAGCATTTGAGAAACTGTCTTGGACACCACCACAAAATGGCTTCTCTGGAAGGCGTAGATAGCCCCAAAGGACAAATAATCTGTTCAAAATAAAATTGGAAGGGCTAAGGCACTGGAAACCATATCTAGGTTATGCTAGATACATTTAGTATACCTATGGGCAGCACATTCCCTACCCCTGAATTAGCTCATCTTTGATATTTTTCAGTGATTCAGATGGAAAATTGACTGTGGAACAGGCAGAATTACATATTTGGGAATATGCTAAATAACTTTGGGCAGGATTTCAAAGGCTGCACATGGACATTCATGAGAACAAAGACAACTTTTGTAGCCCACCAGTACAGGCCCCTGCAGCCCTTCACTCCCTGTGAAAAACTGTTCCTGGTGAACAGTGGGCTACAATAGCTTGAGATTCAAATGCAGTGCAAAAAGAGCCAATAGAAAGCAGAGTAAGCAGTCCCAGTGAATGGTTACATCTTCTGCTCCTGCGCTGAACTCTCTATATTCCAGCTGTGACACATATTGCCATGTTGCTTTATAGCCAGCACAAATGTGCAGGGTTGGTGTATCCAAATATAACAGCAACATTACATTTTGTTCCCTGATGATGCACTTGGGTAGCTTTATGCACTGCATCCCAAGTTGGTTCTGCAAATCTTAGAGTCAAAGCATTCCATTCTAATTTTCCTTGTTTGCTGCATTCCTTGATGTTTTTCACAGAAAAGCTATGATGTAAGACCAAAACTTCACAGCCAATATCGGTGTTCTTTGTAATGCGTGTTTTAATGTATTGTACACTGCCCAGAGAACTTCATTTATTGGATAGTTTTAAAACACAGTAAATACACAAAATACCAAATTAATTTCAGTAAATAATAGTACTGAGATTAATATAATATATAATTACAGAGTAGTGAATTGTCTTATGACCTTATGACTATATTGTAAGTCATTTGTTCTTTTCTGGCTGTTGACAGTGCACACGGAAGGCAAAAAGACACTGTCTGTGCAGAAGTGTTGATGTTTAGGACATAGGTCCTACAGCTTTTATCTTTTAGCAACGCAGGGCACCTGACCTGTTCAGACTCAGACTGTTATCTGAAAAGTTAGAATTTTTAGTAGGTAACAATCTCTAGATGGCTTCCATTTGGAGCTGGATGTCTACGTAAAAAATCCCAGAAGGCGAGCTAAGCACTAAAATGGTGCATTCATTTTTCATACTTAGTTTTAATATGTCCTCCCTCTGTAAACATTGTAAAGTTTTGCTTTTCTTTTTTCCCCTTCATGTTGTTATATATTTTACAGGTATCACCACATTTGCTTTCCAATGTGCAATAGCTAAATGCTGCTAAACTCATAAAATAACATGCAGCTTTGTCTCCTTACATTGTGTTTGTGTTGTTCACAGCATGCCATGCCATTCTGGAGGATCACAAGCCACTCTGACCTTATGGCCCTTCATCATGCCTTGGAACTGGAGTACTTATAGTAGCACTTTGTAACCCCAGAACTTCCCTCAAGCCCATGAACAGTGTGCCTGTGTCTTGTGTCAGCACTGGGCTACAGAACTTGGTGATTTCATCATGTTGATGTACAGCTGCAACTGGTCTTAACCTTTGCCCTTCCAGTAAATGGAGGAGCATGTCTCTTTCTTCAGAAACAGCTGTTGATTCGAGTACTGTGAATCCAATGAAAACAAGCCATGATGAGAATGTTTTAACAATGTATCCTTACCACATTTGCTACATTGAAAGGTTCATACCTGTGAAGAGACTGGGAAGTGCTTTGTGATTTCTAGAATCTTCACACCTTCTTAAACGCAGCAAACTTGATTGCACAACAAAGACTGAGCTTTAAAAAAGATCCCATGGATACATTTCCTAAAGGTTTACTTTTGTTTGTTTTTTTAGTTTCTCAGACCCAGGGTACTGTGTAAAGCTTTACTTATTTATGAACAGACTCTGTTTTGACATCATCACCTAAATGTGGATATGTATGATAAATGAAAGGGTATAGCACGTCTTTGCTTTCTGATACAGAATGAATTTTGATTTTAGCACATTGCAAAGTAGTTTAAAGTATGTCTAATTTAAGCAAAAAGGTACATCACTGAGACAATCGTGTACAGGAAGAATCTTTTGTGTAAATTTGTAATGAATGGATGATGTTTTACATATTGTTTAGGCAAATACTATTGAAAGGTAGTCAAGGCTTTTTGGTGAAGTATGAGGCAGTATGTGCACAAACCATTGTGCGGTGCCTTATGAAAGTATTGTGTATAAATATGTAGATAATGGAATTTTTATAGATCAATTTGTCAAGACCAAAAGCATGGATGTCAAGTGTCAATAAGGAATCACTTTTTAATCTTTCTTTATTTCTAGATATTTTTTCTCCCTTGGCAAATCTATTCTATCAAAACACCAGTTATACCTCTCTCCCTTTGAGCCTGCTCATCACTAACTGGCTTCTCATTTACATTTTGTGCTTGAGTAAATAGGTCCGAGTGCAAAATATATATAACTCACATCAGGTGAAAATGGTTTACATGTTAAATTGTCACTTTTCCTGCTGAAATACATGTAGATGGAGGTATGACATGTCATGCTTCCCATGTGCTTTGCCAAGAAAAGCAGCAGTTTAAATGTGCATGTATATGCTCAACTGATGCAAAGCAAACTGTTAGGACACACCTGAAAATTAAGGGCAGTATTCTGTGCTTTTCATGGCATTGAGATGGATACAGAACTTTTCTCCTGAAGATAAAGTGGCAAGCATCTGTGGAAGCCTTCTAGCACAGCAGAGAGATCATATAGACAAAATGGGGAAGAAAGTGACTTCAACAGATCCCTCCCTTGTCCTGCAGACCCAGTACATGAAATTGTTCCAAACGGTTTGGGCTGGGGAACCCTCCAGAGCAGTGGAAAAGGTGGCATTGAAGGTTCCAGCAAGATTGAGAAAGTGGCCAAAATTTTCTTCCCCTGCCATATGTACTTTCCTGCCGGTGAGACGATTCTAACTAGAATTCTGTCCAAAGGATGCTACTGCTAGTGGAAGAACACTGGATACAACCCATTGGTTTTGCTTGCATGATTGCCACAGCACACTATGGCTTATTTAAGCCTCAGTGGATTATAGCGCATGCTGACTGCCATTGTGAATATTCAAGGCATGGTGGGTACAGCTTAGCATAATGTCCAAACAGGGCTATTTTGCAGTTGAGGTGGCTTGGTCCTTATTATAAGCTGCAGTGACCACCCACTCTGGCTTGACTAGTCATAATAACAAGCCAGCCCTGTGTTTTTACTGCTAAACACTGAATGTGGGAAATGATCGTCTCATTACTTCCAAAAGTAAAGGGCTGATTTCAAAACAAAGCAGTCCTATTTATGTAAACTTAATGAAAAAAATAAACTTCATGTATTCAAATACTAAAAAATAAAGCAACCACTTTATCATTAAATACAGAAGAAGATCTTCTTTCTGGGATCCATTCAATATATATTAACTATGGATCACCTGGAAGTATTCTTACTTTATCAGCCCTGCTTCTCTCAAAAAAAGTAATTCCTTACTATAATATTGAAACATCAGGGGCACAACCTTCTACATGTTGAGGCAGAAAACAGCCTTACAACTCCCAGTTTTCCCAACCAACCAAGCTGGTTGGAGAATGTGGGGAGTTGCAGGATCTTTCTGTCTAAACATATATAGGATTCCACCTTCACACAGAAATCTGCTGAGAAAAGTGCAGAGTTGTAGTTTAGTGATGAACTGCTCTGATGCAACCCTGAAATGACACCATGGAATATTATGTGGAAGAGATGAACATGATGGTAAATGTGTCTCTCTGTTAACTGCTGAATTAGACTATGGGCTTTTCTACATGAGGCATATATCATATTCTCATCATTCCTTAGTTGCGGTTGTTTACAGGTTATTTAGATGATGTCATGACCCTCCAGTTTCACTTCTATGTGAAACCCTCACTTTTGCTAAGTGTTTTTAGAAAAGAGAAAAAATGTATCATCTAATTGTGAAAGCAAAAGAAGGCAAGATTTCCTCATGTATTTGTGCTTTTCTGCTGCACCACATTGTCATCTGGAGGTTGTGCAGCAATAAGGCAATAGAGGAAACACTCTTCAGGTCTTAGTCGGCTACAAAACTGAAAGTAGATACAGATAGTTAACAGCCTTGTGTAGAAAAGCTCCATATTTCCCAGGCTTCTTTTAATTGCAAGAACACAATAAAATGTGGTTTACAGTGATTACTGAAACCTTAGTGCATCACAACTAAGGAAATATCTGCTCCTAAAAACTCCAAACTTGGAGAAAATGTGTGAGCGTTGCAAAATAATTTTTCTTTCTTTGTAGATGCACAATCTGGTTTGAAATTAGAAACTTGCAAATCTCTAGTGCATCCTTAATTTTACCTTTCTCACAGCAGTAACCAGAGTTTTCTGTTAGCCCATTGCTGGCAATGGACACAGTAAAATAGTTATTGCCAATTTTGTTTAGACTGTTTATAAGTAGGTCATATGGCATTTTAATTGTACCCATCTTTGGTAAAATATGAAGATCACAAAAATGGAGGCAGTGTTATTGCCTACGATTTTAGAAAAGTCATCTGCTTAAATGAATGAATGGGGCTTTGTTAACCATGGTTAACACATCTACACCTTCTTTCTTCCCCATCGATAATTCTTCCCTCCTGCTAAAGCCATGGTTAACATATATATTAGTACCAAAATGACCATGCTTCTCCAATATATCAGGTTTCCTACCATGAATAAGGTAGAAAGGTGAAATCTGCAGAGCAGGGAGCTGGGCGACTGCATGTACAGTTTTGCAGCCTGCCCCCAAATGAACAGGCATGTTTAAGGAAATCCCCTTGTTACATCTACACTTGGTTTGCATGTCTAAATTCTTGACCTGATCCTTGGAACCAGGCCACTGATGGATTCTTTGGAAGTAAACCGCACTTCTAGTAGCCTCCCCCACTTGGTTAAATAAATTAGCTTTTAAGCCAGCTGCTAGCAACGCAACAACAGGAGCTGTAAGGCAACATCTATTTTGTGGAGGATGCATATTGCTGCTATGGTTTATAATTATTCTGTGGATTGTTTCAAATTGTTTGATTATAATATGCCCCCACCCCCATCTTCCGTGACTTTGTGTACCAAGAACAATCCAGTTCAGGGACTACTCACAGTCTGTAAAGTTAAGCACATACACAGATCTATTCATGACAGGGGCTGTAATTAGTTGTTGTTGTTGTTTTCTTTTTTCTTTTCCTTTGTTTGCTTTAAGCAAAATAGAGATGGACATTTTCTCCTTTATTTCAATATTTTGTAGTCAAAATGCTGACTTAAAAATGTTTGTCTGGGCCTTATTGTACAAAAGTGTGTTGTGTCTGCAATTGTGTACATAAATTTTCCTCCATTCATTTTGTGTTTAAATTAATAAAATTGATTTGTGACATATCACAGACTTTTATCCTTAATGTGTTTAATTGTTAACATATCTGAATACAGAATATATCTGTTAATATTCAAGTGGTACAGTACAAAGAAGTCTGAACTAAGATATAAGAAAAAAATCCAATTTGAGAGCATCCATATTAAGCATGTGACCTTGAGCTAGTCTAAGCAATTCCTTCCCACTCCAACTGACTAGCTTCTTCTCCATATACGAATGTACTGCATCTGTGATTCACTTGACCAAGTGAGCATACAGGGCCTTTGAGGACAGAACCCTCTTCGTGTTAAAATTCAAATCCCAGTTGAGTGTTTTGGGCTTCAGGGACAAGTGTAAGAAGCTAAGAAAGGCCATGCAGGATGAGACTTTCATCTATTTCTTCCAGGATTCCTTGCCACACAGTGGCAAACTGCCCCACAGGGCCCCTCAAGCAGTATATGCATATAATCGCTCCCTCCTGTTCCCCAGCAATTGCTGTACACAGGCACACTGCATCTGATAGCAGCTGTCAAGCCATGGGTTGCCTTCTCCATGGATTTGTTCAATCCCCTTTTGAAGCCATCCAGATTGGTGGGCATCAGTCGCTCATCAACTACAGCAGTGGATTCTACAGCTTAACAATGCACTGTGCGAAGTACTTCCTTTTAACTGTCCAAATCTCCCACCAATCAGCTTTATGGGATGACCTCAGGTTCTTGTATTATAGGAGAGGGAGAAAATGTCTGCTCCTCCACACCATGCATAATTTTGAACCATCATTCCTTGGCAAATAGATGGGGAAGAAATGGAGGTAGTGACAGATTTTATTTTCCTGGGCTCAAGATCACCGCAGACTGTGACTGCAGCCAAGAAATTAAAAGACACTTGCTCCTGGGGAGGAAAGCTATGACAAATCTAGACAGCATACTAAAAAGCAGAGACATCACCCTACCAACAAAAGTGCGTATAGCCAAGGCTATGGTTTTCCCAGTTGCAATGTATGGCTGTGAAAGTTGGACCATAAGGAAGACTG